TTATGGAGCATTGTCATCAAACAGAACTTTGTAAAACCGCTTTCTCTCTTCCGGATCAAATATGCCACCTAGATCTCCTCCCTCCTTATCTTGTTCTGATGTTTCGTCGCTTTGGTTCCTCCTTTTCTCTGGCTTTGGCATTATCATGCCTCTGTTCCTCTTCTTTTCCAAATTTAATAGATAATGTCTGCGATTATATTCATGGAGTCCCTCCTGCATCAATTCACCAAACTTTTCCTTGACAACAAGAAGAGGATCCTTTTCAATCAGTTCAGATCCATTATATGCTTCCCTCAGGAGAACTGTGTAGATTTGGTATCTGTTAGAAACATAGAATATTCCAGGATGTTTGAGCAGAAAAACATTTAATTTCTCTGGTAGACATAATTCTCTTCTAAAATGGCCCAATTTGAAAATTGATGCTTTTTTCCACAAGGTCAATGACAACAATTCATGCACCAACCCCACTGTTCTCTTGTCCATTTCTTTTGAGCCCTCCACTAAACCATCAAATCCTGAATAAGGTGAAATATATGGAGTAGAATTAAAATCTTCAAACCTTTCCAATGATTTGACCCAAGTTGGAGGCAACGAGCACGGAAAGCATGGCTCTCGACCATCCTTTTTAGCCATTTTTTCGATTGCAGAAATAGCTAAATCAGGATTCCACGCTGTGAGCTCTATCTCCATCGAACTCCGTCTCCCAGTGTGGTTAACAACTCTAAATATTTGAGGGTACTTGGGTACAATTCTCAGCAAATAATCATCAGGAAATCCAAAATTTCTCCTCAGTTCATTAAGTTTCATAACATTCAACCTTTGATCACGGGTCATCATCAACAACTTAGCTAATCGGTCTGCGTATAACGGTTCTTGCATATCCTTTACAGACTCTTCCTCTTGAGTCAAAAACATCATTCTTTTAGTCATCCCACAATAATACTCATCATTCTCAAGGTAGACTTCAAAGCAACAAGGGTATTTTTTAAGCCAATTTAAAGCTTTGCCTTGAAGATCAAGAGTCTTGAACTTCTTTTGCAGATACTTTACTGATGCAACCTGGTCAGGACATCTCATAATAATGTTCTTAATCTGATTATTAACTACCCATCTACGATTTCTATGTAATGCAGCTTCAAGATCTGGATCTTTCTTCATTGACCAGAGAGAAAACCTTCGCACAAGATGAAAATGAAACATTGGATCACATAAACTCACGTACCCATTTCTTTGGGTTTTCACATAAATCCAAGTTGCCATTTACTAATCACCAATTACACGGTATGAGCTATGGGTTCAGACAAACAAAGTTCAAATTTTGAACCCAGATACTCAAATGGAAATGGGGTTAGCGGTATTCAAATTTTGAATGCCCTAGAATGCGATTATTATGATTTCTCTTCGTTCTCAAAAACAACAACATAGAGTCTGCTACAGAAAACATATGAAAATCAATTCAGAGTCACTTGAAGGCGCTATTTGATACTCATATTGAAAACCCAATTGCTTAAATTTGCAGAAAAGATGAAATCTTGCTTACTACCCAAACAACGAGGGAACCGATAATCGGAGAGGCGAAGGAATCTTGGATTTTCTGCTCAATTTTGTATCTCTTTCTTGTTTTGTCTCAGACACCGAGGTGGACAAATAGCGATATCTTTGTTTAGATGATTGTTTTTACAAAAAATTAAAAATAATGGGCAGAACTATTATGAAAAGTTAGAATAAAAAATAAAATATAGTTATTAAATAATAATAAAAAATAAAGATAAAATAAGAAAAAAATATTAAGGTAACGAAACTATTACACCAAATTGATCCTTGCATAAAATGGATATTTTATTCTTACCTAATGATAAATATACAAATGGATATTTTATTCTTACCTAATGATAAATTTAAACGATACAATATAATATAATACAATGGGTTATCATCATCCAAACAAAGTGTTGGTGGTATAGTTTTTAAGATATAGTCAGTTTTTTTAAAGAAAATTATTTAATATTTGGTCAATTTGTAGCAAGTAAATTACGCAATATATCTAAAGGAGCTATTTAATTAGCCGTTTGTTATAAAATGAAGATAGTGTATAAAACTTAAATAGCAAGTAGAGAGATATTAGTAACTTTTCTTTGGATATTTTGGTGTTTTTTCTAATATAAATATTAGAAGGGGATATATATATATATAGGTTATAGACTTTGGAACAAGAGTATGTTACTATTTGACCACATTGACATCCACATAGAGGCGAATCTAGAATTTTTCGAACATGGGTGCACCAAGTAAAATGTATTGAAGTGAGAATTGATCCTTAATCCTCAAGGTCAAAAGCTCAACATTTAACCATATGGACCATTTAGACTTCTTGTAGTATGGGTGCAAGAATATAATATTATACAAAATCTTAAAAAATTTACATATAAAATATCTAATTTTACGAAGAGACCACGGGTGCGGGTGCCCTATTTTTTGGCTGTAAATTCGCCACTGCATCCACAATATTTTTACGGAAAAAACTTGTGGTGAAACAAAAGAGTTAATACGAATTGAGAGTTTCCACATTAAAAATTTTGCCAGGAAACTCAGTTACACAAAATTTTTGGTTAAGGAAAGAAAGAGTACAAGACATATTATACTCCCCTAATTAAATATCATTTAATTCTTGTTATACTATTACTTAAACCACATGGTTAATAGTATATCATATAACGCTTATTATATCTCTTTTGTATTGTATGTTCTTTGATATACATTGAGGCCTTTCGGAAATAGTCTCTCTACCTTCATGAGGTAGGGATAAGTAAGATGTGCATATACTCTATCCTCTGCAAACTACACCGTGTAGAACTGCTAGTTAGTACTCCTAGTATGGTTAATCCACAATAGATAGTGGAAAGATGAATACAGAAGAAACTATTGGGAATAAAACACTTGTTACCTTGTCACATGAGGACATAACATTTTCCTCAAAAGACAAGTTTTGTACTAACTAGGCTCATCCATTGTTTCTATAATAAGAGTTTTGTGTTCTTATGACAATCAACAAAAGGCCGATGATAAATCTCTTTAGTATAGAGTTCAATTCATCTGACAACAGAACAGTGGCGCTGTCATTGGTAAGCCTGTGAGTTACCTCAACCTGCAAAATGAGAAGCCAGTATGTAAACACTACTAGTTCAAGGTATTATAACTCTGTTTGACAAAGAAAATGGCAATTATAACTAATAAATTTACACAGAAACAGAAATCAACATATTGATAGTTTAATGCAGTTCAACATTAGAAGAATTCTACTTACATATGGAACTAATACAGGGAATAACATGTCCCCTCAGACAGTCATTAGTTATCTTGGTTCATGGGAAAAAAATTATAACTGATTGAGACATTAAGATCAAGTGCCATAACAAACTAATGTTTTCCCATGGATAGACAGATTCAGATTGGAGGAGGCATTTTGAGTCATTTAGTTCATATGCACAGATTTAAAATTGTAACAAACAGAAGTCTACGTGAAAATCATTCAGTTGTTACCACCCAAGCAGTTGGATCTTATCTCTATTTTTTGGCATTTCCATCTCTCTACTCAAATGTGTTTTATTTGGTTTCCAGATTTGGAAATCTTTTTAAATATAGGGATAAACTTAGTTCCACGTTGACTCTTGATGACACATGACAAGCATATCACCCTCCCTCTCCCACCGTGCCACGTCCAGAACCCCCACCCCCACCCAAAAAAAGAAAGAAGTTGGCATTCTTTCTCACCATGCAAAGGTTGCCATTCTCCCTTCCCTTACCATGCTGGTACTTCCCTCCTTCCCACCACAAGCATCCTCTTTGCGCTCCTTCCCATTAACTCCACAGCACCAAGTTCAGCATTTTTCCTTCCTCCCAACTCCACCCCATATGTCTTATCTTCTCCATACCCAAAGATGCAACCACTAGACATCTTTCTTCCTCCTTCCAACCAATCTAACCTTACACCAGAACCCCTATCCACGTCCTTCATAACTCCAAGCAGCCCTTTAACAACATGGGGAACATAGAAAATGATGGTCAAAAAGCACCTCTGCGAATTAGGCATATTTACTCACAGGTGAAATGTGTTGGTTGAATTGGATATGTTGGAAACGCAATGGACCTTTTAAAGATGGACTCAACTCATTTATTAACCCATTCAATCCCTTCAGAACCCATAAAAGCAAATGAAGTAAGACTACTGTTACAAGTTAAACCTTCTATGATTTTAGCTTCAATGAAAGAATGACAAAAGATTACTTTCTTTTTCTTTTCACAAAGGGTTGACACTTCGAACAAAAAGAAAGAAAACTAAAAGGAGGACTGAGAAAATGATAGCAAGCAACGCCATGACTAGAAAAATCGCATTCAGATCTTGTGTCTTTGAATTGAACAGTTGAATATGAAAAGTAGACATTTTGAAGATATTTCAGTCTGACTAAATTACACAGTTGTGACCAATTGGGCCACCGCAGGAGGTCATTCTATGTGACATGTAGCGAACTTGTTTATATTTAATATATATGCACCACGTTCAGTTTAAATAATTGATGGAGCTAAAGTCCTGCCTTCTCCCTCCATGTATAATTGCATATATATGTTGAACTTCAGAAAAAATCATGAAATCAAGGACTATCCCAGATGACAACCACTTTACAACTTGTATTTTGCAAAACTGATGATGGAGATAAGTGATTAATGGTAGTGCTTAGAAGTATTCACAAAATCAGTAAAGACTACCAAGCGACCAGCAGGATACACAGTCAAATATTCAATTATTTCCAGCAATTAAACATCTTCCATCCAAGTGACATGAAACTACCCATGTTTAGAAGTCGATCAATAATTTCCAAAAACCAGCTGTTTGGGGAAAAAAACTGAGAGAGGGGGAGTAAATAGATGGCTGATAGTGCCAGACTGCCATCACACTGATTGCAACGCAAATCATGAGGGCATAACAGAAACTGGGGAAGTACCTTTCAGTATTTAGATCCTTCCCAGTTACTTCTGATGGGATCTAAGTCATAATTTTAGACGGCACTGCCGAAATGATACTTTCTAACAATTATATGCATTGCATGTAGCACCTGCAATGGCAAAGTGTCCCATATGAAGGTAAGCTATCAAAGTAACTTCTACAGATCTACAAAATAAGGAGTTTAAGGACTAAACTGAATAACAAACCTGTAATAAGTGTGATGACATAACCTCTTTTATAGGAAAAACTTCTATCAAAGAAAATAATCTCTCAGGATGGTACCTGCTGACCAGCCCTGTGTATATATCCAAGAGGCCTAAGAGCATCAATCTGTTGCATCTCAAAGAACTGGCAAGAAATAAACTCAATTAGCCTTTATTAGCTATTGTTGAGGAGAAATAAGACTATACATATTATATCCAAAAGAAAGCCGACCTTGTTAACTAAATTAACCATTCCATTACTGTGCATTGTAGATTTAAGTGCTCTCTGAAGCAACCTATCAAAATTATAATAAACAATCAGACACTGAGAAAATAAACACACAAGTCGTTTCTGATGAATCTATGAAGAATAGATTACTCACCATTGAAAGTGCCAACTGAATCACAAAATTGTGAGCAGATGCCCCCTGTGGCTGCATGAAAGTTTCATAATCATAAATGTTAGCACAACAGCATATGACATCTGAATAGAGGACATTTTGTTGAAGTAGTGATCACATTGAACTGATTATGAAGAGTAACATACCTGACAACCGATAAAACGGTGCAAAAGTTGGTGTAAGGTTGGTAACTGTTCAAGCAACTAAATAACCTTACTGCCAGATATCAAGCAAATAGAGCAGAGGAATTTTACTCTCCTTTGTCAATAGATCAGTTGCATTTAATGTTTCTGAAAACCCTCCCCATAAGCAAATTTGAGCCCAAAACACCAACAGCACCTAAGTTTAAATGACCAAAAGAACATATAAATGATAGTAATACATGAGCAAGACAAAATGCCATGACATTTCAGTGGAATTCACACAAGCAATAGATTACTATAAGGAGAAATGGTCTAACCCATACTTGTAAACTCATTGCAAGGAAATCCAAATTGAGATAAAATTAAATATCAGGATTCAGGTAACATCTAAAGTAGAAATTGGCCTGGAGAACCTTGACACCTTAGCCTTAACAAATAGTAATATAACGTATAACGTCTACATGTACTCATCTAGACATACACAACTGTAGAGGCTGCTGTGAAAAATGAAGTCTACTGCCACTGATAATTCTCAGCATTTAGCAGGAAATATGTTCCCATAATGGTCTTATACTAACAACAATACAATGACAATTAGGAAAACCAAAAGCAGAAAACCCATAAGCATAATAAACTTGCATAACCTAAACTCAACGAATGAAGATTGTGGAAGAGCCTGAAATACCAAAACAAATTCATGATGCATGAATCTTTCCATTTTATACAAGTGTTCAAACATTTCAGAGAGAGAAGAAAAGGGAGCACACGCCACATGAGTAGAGATAAAAGATTTAGATATAAATCACGTGCTTGAGGCCAAATGCTCATCGTACTTAAAAATGATCTTTTAGCATTCTTGTAAAATAACAACAGTAGAATTTATCCAATAAATCTGAAACAACACAATAGAAACACAGTCTCTCTTTGCAGAAAAAATCCGATAGACAGTTTCAGTGGTCATGAAACAGCTATGCGTCACGGCAACAAAAAATTGAACCCAAACAAATAAAAAGACCATACCAATACCATTGTTACACAAATTCCAACTAAAACAGAGCACTCATTAAAACCAAAAGGAATATTTAACTCACAGAAATATCTCAGCTATGGTGTAGAATCAAATAAATCAAGCAAGTAACTTTATTCACCTTACTTACAGCTCTGTACCTAGGCTGTGCCAATAGTTTGTCCATTAGGAGGCAATATCATTTCTAATCTCTTTGTCATTTGATAGAGCTTCTGTAACTTTTCCTCCTCTCCCAGCTGTAAGAGAGACCTCTTCAACATCTGAAACACTAGCTCGCTCATGTGCCTACCCCTCTTCAACATTTGCTCAGAGCACTCAAATGCTTCTTCAACTCTCCCACGGGAGCACAATCCTGTGACCAGAATTTCTAAAGAATGGCAGTGTGGACAGTGCCCTTTATTCATCAGGTAATTCCATAAGCTCAAACCCAGATCAATTCTCTGGTTTTCACAAAAGAATTTCATCAGCATCACAACAGTACGTGCCTTAGGCAAGAAATTTTTGTCAACCATCCTTTCGTAAAGATCAATGACACCACCAACATCATTTGATCTTATCAATCCCCATAACATAGTGTGATAAGTTAAATTGTCAAACTCAATATTTTTCTCCTCCATCTCATCCATTAAGACTGCTGCAGATTTGACATCCCTGGATTTGATAAGAGAACTCAAAAGGGCATTATAGGCTCCAGTGTCTGGTTGAAAATTTCTCTTGAAGATTTCATTGAAGAGTTCCTTAGCTTTACTTATATTACGAGCAATCCCTGCTCCATGAATCAAAGTTGTTATTGTTTCTACTGTAGGCAAGCAATTTACCGTATCCATTTCTTCAAACAGCTTCAAAGCATCACCAAGACGACCTTTCTTGCAGTATGCATCAATTCTTATACTGTATGTTACGGAATTAAGCTTAAAACCTCTTTTAACCATCTCATGGTAAAATAACTCTACGGCAGTAATATCCCCTGATTCCTTGAACCCCAAAAGCAAGATATTCATTGTCTTGGTATCAGGTGGGAACCTAGAATGGAGTTTGTTGAATACTGAACGAGCTTCTTTCATCTGCCTCTGTGAGCAAAATGCTCGAAGAAGAATATTGAACTCTTCGGTGCCAAATTTCTTCCCGGGGAATAAATGCTGCTCCATCTTCTCAAATGCTTCAAGGGTATCTTCATAGGACTGATATTTTGCTATTCTTGATAGCATGATGCTCAATGACTTAAGGGTGAGCAACGACGGTTGTAGCTGTTGAATTTTCTTCATTAGTTCCCAACCCTTATCAAAGTATCGCATTCTTGCTAGTACGTGAAGTGTCTTCTCAAATGCATCAGAGGTTGGACTATACTCAGGATGGTGGAGGCAGAACTCAAAAAATTCATATGCTTTAAGACCATTTGCATGTGCCGCAAATAGGCGACCAATGACATTTTCAACAAACATGGTAGACAGGATACTCGAAGAGACATGACGTTTAAGCATTGGTTGCAGAGGCTGAACAGGAAAAGGGTGGTCATTAATGATTCTAGCAATTGTTTCAACTTCATCTTTTGTTTCTGAAAAAGAATGAACCAAACTGCTTGACCAAAGGCGATGTCCAACAACTCGCAAAACTTGGCCAAATTTATCTATTCGAGTAGAAATCACAACCACCATTTTAAGTAACAAGTCAAAGTTTTGCACTTCAATCAATACAAACACGATAACAACCACACCTTATCCTATCTGAGTGAGCTGACAATCGTTTAGCAATCTACAGAGATTTAGAAATCTATTAGAAAAAGGCAGCATCTAAAAGCTCATCAACTCAAACAAATTAAAAGGTATCCTCTGACAACTCAAAAATAATACTCTAGCATTCAGTAAATCTTAACAATTTCTATAAAACTAATCTTAGTGATAACAATACTCACTTATACCACCAAATCATACCAGAAACTAAATGAAATTAAAAAAAAAACTTCTATATTTTGTTAACTATCAGCAACACACCCAACAGTTCCACTAATCAATATGCAAAACGAAAAAGCTGTTAAACACAAAGCAAAAAAGAAGGTTTATGAATATCAAATGCTTAGGTTAGGGTTCTGTAACTCACAAAAGTGAAAGATTTACTCTAGATAAGGAAGGCCGACCAGCGACCGGCGACCAGGACTGCAAATTCTGGAGCGGGTGCTTTGGAGGAATGGCGAAAACTACTCTCTGCTTAAGAAAAATTGCTAACCCGTTCGATTATTTGAGAGTATGAAATATCGTTGTACTATGACTTGAACATTTAACCATCTTTGGGTTAAAAGGTCTCTCTTTAACTCATAGCAACATAATTAGGCCTTTAACCAAATTTAGGCGGCCTATCAGTTGGTTCGAAAAGTAATCAATTTAGTTATTGGTTATCAATTTATAAACATGTTATATTGATAATTAAAACAATAAATACTTATTATGGATTTTTTATTGATTGATTAGCAGTCATAAATACTTTAAATTAATTGATAAAAAATATTTCTTTTAATTTAAATTTTTTTTGATCTAATTAGATAAATCAAGTTCTAATATGATAAATATGATTGAAAAAAGTATGAAAACACCCTTGAATTTGACACAATTTATTAGCTTCTTTCTCGAATTATTGACAGTATTTAAAGCATTTCTCGACTTGACCAACTAAACTTAGATATACTCCCAATCTACTACATGATATAGGAAGTGGTCTCAAACTCTTGTAGGAGCATGAAACTCTTAATAAAAAGCCGAAAGAATTGTTAAAAACACCCCTAAACTAGGCGAGAATTTAAGGGTATATTTCGCTCATGTTATAAGATCGGAGTGTGTAAATTCAGTTAGTCAAGTTAAATGATTTTTTTAAGGCTGTCAATAATTCATGAATGAAAATAATAATTCGTGCTGAATTTAAGAGTGTTTTGGGGAAATTAAGCAAATACCTCATAAAAGCAAAATAATTACAAACATATACCCTTTACATTCATACCCCACTAAATAATTACACTATTACCCCCCCCCCCCTCCCCCCCTCCCCCCCCCCCCCACACACACAAAACTAAATTCGTTTAACTGATACTAAATAAGTAACATATTCTGTATTGATATCATTAATGTGAATAATTTCACTTAATTGATATTAAATTAATATATATATATACTCTTATAATATCATTGAATAATGAGTAATTTCTGAACAAGAAACCTTAATGATACCATAAAAATATATATACACTTATATTATCATTGACTAATGAGTAATTTTTTAACAAGTTACCTTAATGACACCACACCAATATACATATACTCTTATATTTTCATTGACTAATGAGTAATTTTTTAACAAGTTACCTTAATGATACCACAACAATATACATATACTCTTATATTTTCATTGACTAATGAGTAATTTTTTAACAAGTTACCTTAATGATGCCACAATATACATATACTCTTATATTTTCATTGACTAATGAGTAATTTTTTAACAAGAAATCTTAATGACACCACAATATACATATACTCTTATATTAACATTGACCAATGAGTAATTTCTGAATAAGAAATCTTAATGATACCAATACAATATATATATACTGATTTAGTATCAGTTAAGTAAAATTTTCAGCCTTAATGATACCAATACAATATATGATAATGATTTAGTATCAGTTAAGCGAAAATTACCAGCCTTAATGAAGGGGTATGAACTGTAATTATTTATGAGGGAATAGATATTTCTTGAATTACTTTAAATTTGATATGAACATGTAATTATTTTGAGTTTTGTGACTCATTTACGTAGTTTTTCCTATTTTGAATACTTATCTTATCTTGATTCGACTTATTAATTCGATTTTGGATCATTCTTGTCTATTTATGCCTATAGGCTATAGCCCATCAACCCCTGCAAGAGCCATTTCATTTCACTTTTAGCCAATCAAGCATTTTTTCGATTGGAGCTAAACCAAAAGGGATATTATTTTCTTATAGAGATTGGTGCAACTCAACTGGATATCAAAACTCACACAAAGCAACATTTTATTTTATTTTTGTAGAAATTTGAGGTGGCACAATCACATATTTATTTGAGCTACACTGACATCATCTTCTTCCCCTTTTTTATAATTCAAACGATACTTGTATGAATAAAGAATTGTGAAAAATATAATAATGGCAATTGAGATTGGTTCAAACTTATTTGAGCAGCTGAAAAATTGATGAAGAAAACGACAGGGTTCACTCTTAAATTGATGTATAACAATGTGGGTACATTGTTTATATACAATTATATGTTATTTATATATGATATACAAAACACATTATTATGTATATATCGTATACATAACAATAATAACATATCTAATGTAATTCAAATATCTTTCATTCCTTTTGATACTAGAGAATAAATAACTTAGTAAGATGAAAAAAAAAAAGAATTTAAAATACAAGTTTTCGAGAAATAAAGAAAATAATATAATTATTAGAATGTAAATTAGCTCGTTGTCATCAACTCACCATCAATCATAGTAGTTGAATAATCCTCTCTTTGTTTTTAAATATTGGACAAGTAAAAATTGACGGATGAGAAAATACAACCGACATCTTATAGATAACGGGCAAATGCATTGACTCGAGAGCCAATTTGCATGTAAGGAATCAAATCCAATAACCAAAGTAAAATAATGTTGAGTTTAAGTATAAATAATATGTTCATTTGCCTTTGATTTATTGAGAGAAAGATTAATTAATAATCAACTTGAGTTGAGAAAGAAACGTTCACAACAAGCTAAAAATATTGGCAAACTATATAATAAGTAGCACATGGTCCAACTCTACACAAAAAAAAATCAAAATGAAGATTATCAAAATAAAAAACTGTATATCATCATTTTCTGCAAATGAAGTGTTTCCTAATGAAGAACTTCTGATAGAAATCTTCCAGTAAAATCACTCGTACGATGCAAATGCGTCGTGAAAAAATGGAATTATCTCATCACTAGCCCAGAATTCACCCGTCTCAGAGTCCCCTGTTTCAACCCTGGTCGTGGCCTATTTTTGCACTGTTCTTCTTTCTTGATCAACCCTCTTCACGAATTCATTCCCTTCACCCTCGAAAATCCAATTCAATCACCATTCCACAAGCTCATTTTCGTAGACGATCCTTATGGAATTAGAATCCTGCAATCTTGTAATGGACTTTTGCTATGTTGTAGTTTTCGCGTTCATGGACCTAATGAAAATTACTATGTGTACAACCCAACAACACAACAATTTGTTACACTTCAGAGACTAAGAGGGCATGGACAAACTTCCAAGGCTGTAATTGGGATGAAACTAGCGTTTGATCCATGGAAATCGCCAAATTATAAAGTGATTTGCATTCGTTTGTCTGATGAAGTGTTTCCTGATGATCAACACTATCAGGTCGAGATTTATTCATCTGAATTTAAGAAATGGAGGGTCGTGGGTTCACCTTTTCTAGCTCGTTACGATATAGGATTCAGGTGTACTGGAGTTTATTGGAATGGTTCAATTTATTGGGAATGTGGTGACAACTCGTTACGTTTCAATGTGGAGCAAGAAATGTTCGCTAAGTTTCCCATGCCTAACATTAATGAGAGTAGAGTTGCTTATTATGGAGAGTCTAGTGGATATTTGCATCTAGTACAAGTGCATAGTCGTCAAAAGCTCACTTTCTACAACATTTACGAGATGAATAGTGATGACACGGAGTGGTACATGAAGTACCAAGTGAATGTTGAAGATGTTGTTAACACGTTCCCTCATATGATTCGACATTATCATGATCCAACAGACCGGAATTACTTAGCGATGAGTGTGCTTTGTGTTGTTAGAGGGGAGAAAGAGGAGGAGGCCTTCATGATTTTGCACATTCCCAAAATGGTCATACGTTATAACTTGAGGGATAACACATTTTACAAGCTATATGAATTTGGAAATAATAGTATTGAAGAAAATCAATTTGAGGATGAAGATGAAGATTATGAGGTCCCTATTTCCCTGCAGTTTGATAGGTTTAGTGCTTTCCAATATGTTGAATCTTTATTTTGTATGTGAGGTCATTTATTTGTAATGTAATTGGAAAAAAGATCAACATGAATTATGTCCATTATTTTGATTTCCAATGTCCAACTTGTTGTCCATTAATCACTTCATTCTCTCCATAAGGAAATGGTTTTTGATACAGTGGTAATAAATTATCATTAGCTATTGGTGTATGGAATAGTACTAAAATTTGGCATATATTTACTCTGCCCAAAATAAGTGTCACTTGAACTTATTTCAAGTCATTAAGAAAAAAAAGATAGTTGTTGCATGAATAATTGCATATGATTGAGAAGAAATTGAATGAGAGTAATACTTGCGCTAGTTCGTTTATCAAAAGACAATTTTTATTAATTTTATTTCTGCTACTTTCTTTAATTATGTCAAAGGCATTTTCTAATTACTAAAGAGGACAAGTTGAGGATTCATTTGCTTTAACTATTAGGGGTCGTTTGGTTGGGAACTAGTTATTTCAGGATTAATTATTCCATCCTGTATATGGAATAACTTATCCCATGACTATGGTATAAATGGTGGGATAAATTATCCCAAACATGTCAACCAAACAAGACACCAAACTTTTATTCCAGGACTATATATTCTTATCCCTCACACCAAACGACCCCTTAGTTTGCTAGAAGAGACGGGAACGGCTCGATATACATAAATTTGAAGGACTAAATAAGTGTTGGACTATACTTGAAGGTAGGGGTGACAAAATCAATCCCAACATGCTCAATCCGTTCAATTAGGTTAAGTTTGAGTTGGTTATTGACCCGTTCATTCATTAGCTCAATCCATTTCAACTCAACCAATTTCAATCCATTAAAATTTGATTGATATGTAACCTGAATTGACTCATAACAAATTTTGTCAAAATATTTTTTAAAAACTTTTTTTCAATTTGATATGTTATATATATAGTCATAATTAAAAAAAATAAGAATTTTATTAGGTACTAAAATAGTTTAAAAGAACAAATAAAACAATTAAGTTTAATAAAAAAATTGAGTTGGGTTGGGTCTTGACCTGTTACCTAATACATTTTGATCCAAACAAATTTGGATTGAATTAGATCTTGATATGATTATTGTCTTAATCCATAATAATCCGTCCAAATTTAATCCAATGTGTCCAATTGT